TGTTTTGAACAACCAATTAAAAAAAAAAAAAAAAGAACATGGCTGGGAAGGCTACAGTCCCACGTGGTGGGTGTTAACTACCAGGGGAAGGCTGGTGAGAAGGCTTCACTGCTTTTCTTAAAAAAAATGAGCTGGGACTGTAGCTCAGTGGTAGAGCACTTGCTTACCATGTGTGAGGCACAGGATGTGATCCTCAGGGCTGCATATAAATAAATAACTAAAAGGTATAAAAAATACAGTAACATTTTTAAAAATGATGTCACTAGTACTTAATGTGGGTATTTGTTAAATCCGGGATTTTCTGTTACATTGTTATCTGTATCCTTCTGTGTGCTTGAAATAGTTTAGAACTAAAAATAAAAGTTAAGGGCTGGCATTGTGGCTCAGCAGTAGCACACTCGCCTAGCATATGCGAGGTTCTGGGTTCAATTCACAGCACCACATAAAAATAAGTAAACAAAATAAAGGTATTGTGTCCAACTACAACTAAAAAATAAATTTTAAAAAAAGTTAAAACACATTGCATGATCCCAACTACTCAGGAGGCTGAGGCAGGAGGATGGCAAGTTTGAGGCCAGCTTGAGCAACTAAACTCTATCTCAAAAAAAGGGGACTGGGGAACACTGGGGGCCTAGCTCAGTGTAGAGTGCTTGCCTAGCATATGCAAGGCCCTCGTTCCATTCCTAGGACTGTAAACAAACAAACAGCTACACAACCATAACAGCAAAAAACTACTAATTGGACTGCAGAATGAGCAACACATTTGAAAATTGGGATATATGCATGGCTCTTGAGGTCTTCTGTCAGCTTCAGCCCCTTTATTTCCACATTTTGTTCTGGTTGCACATAAGGAGAATGTTTGTGTTGACACAGCTACTTAGCATGAGCAGACTTTTTCTTTTTTTCCAAACAACTTAAATTAAAAAAAAATCTTTGGACACTCTTGAAATAGCTGTCAAAAGGCTTTCTTATGCATAAAAATGAATTAAATTGGCACAAGTTAATGTTTTGACAGTCTCTAGTGTATTAATATTTGTTAGGAAGCACATACCTTTTTGATAGTTGCTTTTTTAAAAATTGAGATGAAGTGTACACATGGAAATTTTTTCAGTGTACAGTTCAGGGGCATTAAATAGATTCTCAGGGTTGTGCAATCATAACTGTCTATTTTCAGAACTTTTTCATCATCCCAAATAGACACTGTACCCCTGAAACAGCAAGTTCCCACTGCCCTTCCCCCGTCCCTGGCGTCCGCTGTTCTGTCTGTGCATCTGCCTGATCTAAGTGCCTCCAGTGGACATTTGTTCTCCCGTCTTGGCTTTTTTCACTTACTATCATGTTTTTAAGGTTCATTCATGTTGTGCAAGTTCCAAGTTTTGTTCCCTGTGAAGGCTGCATTTTGTATTTAATCATGAATATTCTCCATTTTGTCTGTCTCCTCGAGTGCCAGTGGACACACCGGGTTTTTACCTTTCAGCTGTGGTGAACGAAGCTGCAGTGAACAGCGGTACAGATTCTGTTCAGGGCTCTGCTCAGGTTCCTGGTGTACACCTTGAGTGGGACTGCCGCATCATAGGCCGTTCTGGGCTTCACTTTTTTTTGGCGGAGGGGAGGGGAGGAGTACCAGGGATCGAACTCGGGGGGCACTCGACCAGTGAGCCATCCCCAGCCCTATTTTGTATTTTATTAGAGACGACGTCTCACTGAGTTGCTTAGTGCCTTGCTGTGCTGAGGCTGGCTTTGAACTCTGATCCTCCAGCCTCAGCCTTCCAGGCCACTGGGATTATAGGCGTGTGCCACTGTGCCCGGCTGGGCTTCGCTTTTGGATGGAGCACCCAGCTGCTCCACAGCAGCTGCACTGTGTGCTGCCCCTTCATGTCCACCAGCATTTGCTCTTTTCTGCGTTTTTGATAGTAGCCATTCCTGTGGGCATGAAGTGGCGTTTTATCATTTTGTTTTGCATTTTTCTAGTGACGTTGAGCATGTTTTTAAATTTATGTCTTTTTTTTTTTTTGTTGAGAATTTTTTTTTATTTTTGGTTGGCACAACATCTTTATTTTATTTTTATGTGGTGCCGAGGATCGAACCCAGCGCTCCGCGCATGCCAAGCAAGCACGCTACCGCCTGAGCCACATTCCCAGCCCCAATTTATGTCTTTTTTAGCTGTAGGTGGACACAATACCTTTATTTTGTTTATTTATTTTTATGTGGTGCTGAGGATTGAACCCAGCGCCTTGCATGTGCGAGGCAAGTGCTCCACCGCTGAGCCACAACTCCAGCCCCGACGTTGAGCTTGTACTGTTTTTTGGCTTGTACTGTTTCATGTACTATCGGTCATTTATGTATCTTTGGAGAAATTCACATTTTTGAATTGGTTTGATTTATTGTGTTTTTGAGTTGTAGTTCTTTGTGTATTCTTCTTATGAACCCTTTATCAGAAATTTGACTTGCGAATCCCATCCTGCAGGTTGTCCTCACTATGGTCTTTTTTTCCCTTTGAGATAGGCTCTCACTCTATTGGCCAGGCTGCTGTCGAACTCCTGGGCTCAAGTGATCTCCCACTTCCACTTCCTGAGTAAACAGGGTTACAGGTGTGCACACTAGCCCAGCTTGCCTCCTTCCCTCTTGGTAGTGTCCTTTGATGCACAAAACTTTTAATTTTGATGGACTATAATTAATCTATTTTTTGATTTTGCTTGTGGTTTTGGTGTTACATTTTTAAAAATCTTGCCAAGTCCACTGTCATGAAGCTTTTCCCCTCTGCTTTCTTCTAACAGCGTCACAGCTCTAGCTTTTTCACTGAAGCTATCAACTTTGAGTTCATTTTTAAATATGATGTGAGGTAAAGATTCTACTTAATTACCGCCCCAACCTTTGGTACCAGGGATTGAGCCCAGGGGCACTTAACCTTTCAGCCATATACCCAGCCCTTTCTATTTATGTATTTATTTTTTTTAAAGTTTTTTTTTTTAATTTCCTGCTGAACAGTTCTTAATCATTCCTATTTTTTTTTTTTTTTTTAAGAGATTTTTTTTTTTTTTAATATTTATGTTGTAGTTTTCGGCGGACACAACATCTTTGTTTGTATGTGGTGCTGAGGATCGAACCCGGGCCGCACGCATGCCAGGCGAGCGCGCTACCGCTTGAGCCACATCCCCAGGTAGCGCGGCCCGGGTTCGATTCTCAGCACCACATACAAACAAAGATGTTGTGTCCGCCGAAAACTAAAAAATAAATATTAAAAAAAAATTCTCTCTCTCTCTCTCTCCCTCTCCCTCTCTCTCTCTCTCTCCATCTCTCACTCTCTCTTTAAAAATAAAATACATTGCTTTTTTTCCCCCAAATATTTATATTTTAGTTATAGGTGGACACAATGTCTTTATTTTACCTTATGTGGTGCTGAGGATCAAACCCAGTGCTTCACGCATGCTAGGCAAGCACTCTACCTCTGAGCCACAACCCCAGCCCACTTTGCTTTTTTTTTTTTAAAGTTTAAAATCTATTTAAAAAACAAACTTTAGCTGGTGTGGTGATGCACACCTATAATCCCAGTAACTCAGGAGTCTGAGGCAGGAGGATTACATGTTTGAGGCCAGCCTCAGCAATTTAGTGAGGCCCTAAGTAACTTAGCAATGTCCTGCCTCAAAATAAAATGGCCTGGGGATGTAGGTCAGGGGTGGAGCACCCCTGGGTTTAATGTCCAGTACCAAACAAACAAATAAATAAATGAATTTCAATCCCGTCTTCTGTGGAACTGCAGCCTCCTAAGGCTCCTTGTGTGAAGACTCTTGGTCGTGTCTTGGGCGCCTGTGGAGCCAGCTCCTCAGGAGTCTAACCCAGGAAGATAGCTTAAGCCCAGGAGTTCAAGGCTGCTCTGCACAACATAGTGAGATCTTGTTAGAAAGAGAAAAAGGCATCTTCCTGCTTAGGGTTAGTGGACCATCAGAATGTTACGGGAATACTGAAGAAGCTCAGAGTAGTGAGCCCAGGTTGGGAAGGAAAGCACCACCGGGAAGGAGAGAAGGACTCGTGAATGGCATAGGGGATCAGTTCATTTTGTCTGGAATTATACTCTAGATTGTAGCAAATTTTTTTAAAACCTAGGTTTGTGTTCTCTCTCTCTCTCTTTCTTGTTTTACTTTTTTATCACAGCTGGATGTGTTCATCCAGTGTGGATGGGAATCTACCTGATAAAATTGAGGAACTGTCACCTTGGATAGTCTTGCCCTATGTAGCGCTTTCAGCTGGGAGTCCTGCCTGGTAATCCTGATCTTGGAAACAGGACTTTACAGATTCTCTGACAGAAACTCAGAGGCAGTAATGTGAAGGGCAGCTGTTCCTCTGCATGTTTGGGCACTTTGCTGTCGCCAAGCTCATCTAGTTTCTGGTGCCATTGCTGCAGTGCAGTGTAAAACCTGGGATCACCTCGCAGAGGGGATGTCCCTCCCTGCTCCTCTCTGGTCCTGTTTCTGGCTGCAGGGCTGTGAAAGCACCTTGTTATAAAGATAGACTCTCTGTCCTATGTTGAGGACAAGATTTCATTAGTTTGCATCTTGAATTTTGCCAGTGCCTGAGTATAACATGGCAGTTATAGCTTTATGGGATTTTATGGCCAAACAAAAAGCCCCCATGTGCACATTCCACACAGACCTGTGTGTTTGACTCTCCCCAGTAGTGGCCTCTGTGCTCAAGTACGTTGGAGGTCACGTCTTAGGCAGTGCAGGTGTCTCGCAGCAGCGCGGTTGGCTGATTGATACCACAGGTCTGCTGTGTGCGCCTTGTTATGGTGGATCTCTGAGGTACTTTCTGACCCATGTTGGACAGAGTCCTTTTTTTTAACCTTTAAAATTCAGAAACACATGGTACACATGTGACCTTGGTCACTGGTTTACTGTTAAGTCCATAAAGACAAGGTTCAGTGCCTTTAAGGTTTATTACTGAGGCTGGAATGTTAATGCTTTTGATAAAAGATAACTACTAAACAGTTATTCTTCTTTTAGATGAATGGAAGAGAATCAGAAGAAGAAAATCTCAATAAATCTGAAATAAGTCAAGTGTTTGAGATTGCACTTAAACGGAACTTGCCTGTGAATTTCGAGGTAAGTTTATTTTTCATGTAGGACTTTGTATTATAAAATATTGTAGAATTCCTCATAGGTGTGATTTCCCCCCCAAGTATCATTTGAATAATATAAAATGTGAACCTCCACATTTAAGATTCAGAGTTTCTGTTCAGCAAAGCAGTGTTATTAATTTCTCCTGGAGTCTTTAACCTAGGGGTGTCCTTGGCTCTGTAGCCTGGCCATGCGTGGCCTCAGTTCATCTGTGAATGTCCTGAGGTGGCTGGCAGAATACTGGTCTCTTTACTCACATACTCTTTAGGACAGAGGGTTCCTTGCATTTATCAGTCTTAAAAGCATCTTTTCCTCCAAAATATTGAGAATTTCTTTTAGTGTCCCAAACAGCCTTATCAGTAACTTTGAAAAAGATACTGGTTTTGTCATTGTCCATGTCTGCCCCCTGCATCATCTGTTTAAATCACTTTCATTGGTTGTTGGGGATTTTGTAATCTAAAAGCAATTTTAGGGGCTGGGACTGTGGCTCAGCGGTAAAGCGCTCGCCTAGCATGTGAAAGGCCCTGGGTTTGATCCTCAGCACCACTTAAAAATAAATAAAGGTATTGTGTCCAGCTGCAAATTTTTTTAAAAAAAGTGTCTGATTAAAATAAATAAATAAATAAAAGCAATTTTAAGGGTTCCTTGTTCAAAATTGAAAATAAAATTCATTTAATGTTTTCTTTAGAAACAACATAGTCTGTCCATAGACTGGGAAGGTAAAGGAGGATTTTTTTTTTTTTCTTTTGAATTTTCCCTTATGGTTTGATGCATGGCAAATTTATTCTTCTTGATCCCATACTTTATCATGGAATTATTTTTGCAAAGCCTATGTGAAGTTTATTATCCTGTAAAATACTTTAGCTTTGTAGCCTCTTTTGTAGTTACAGGTGACCCTCAGATTTCATTGCCTGTCTTCAACTCTGTACCTTCTCCTCTCATGTGCTAGTACCCTGAACTCACCCCATATTTATTCCCTCACCTGCCCCTGAGTGAGGCCAATTTCTGACCTACAGCCTTGGGTGCTTTCTGCTTGCCAAGCAGGACTGGTCTGTGTGCGGGGATCTTCCTTGTCCCCTCCATTGCCCCGACACCTCCCTCTACCCTCCCTGGCTCCAACAAGCGAGAGGAGGCTCTGTTTCCTCCCTCCTGGGGTAAGAGCCTCCTGCTCCTGCAGGCCTTGCCACCTTTCTCCTTATGTTGGGGCAGCAGACACGGGGTCGGGGAAGAGGGGAGATGGGACGACTGGTTGTTGAGTAGGGACTAGTTGGGACCTGCACCCCAAAGTATTCACAAGACCTCCCTGGGCACCTGTTGTAAGAGAGGGAAGAAGTATCCCTTTTCTCCCCTGCTTAGGATTAATATGACAGGAAATTTTTTTTTTAAAGATTGGAGGGAGGTGTGTCAAGACTGGGAGAGTGGAGATGCCTGGCCCCTCACGTCATCTCAGGGTTAGAGTTGACTGCTTGTGGGGAGGGCCTGGATTTCTGTGAAGTTTGTCACCTGCTCACAAGAGTTGCTGCCCTGCCTGAGAGTTGTAGAACTTTCTGGAACTTTATGCCGTTCTGTGCATTTTCTCTGTGGAGTCTGGGGTGGGGACCAGATTGCTTCTCACCTCCATTTTTCTTTATCTTTCAGATTTGTCTTTGAAACCTGTGTTAAGGAATGTGTAACGTTTAAGAAGTAGTCACATAAGACAAATTGTAGGAGTGCCCTCTGGTGGTTAATATCTTTTTAAATTTTTTTTTTTTTTTTGGTAGTTGTAGATGGGGAGAACATGCCTTTATTATTTATTTATTTTAATATGGTACTGAGGATCAAACCCAGGGCCTCACATGTGCTAGGCAAGTGCTTTGCCACTGAGCTACAGCCACAGCCCGGGTTAATATCTTCCTAATTAATACTTTTAAAACAGTTTGTTGGTGGCACAGAGTTTGTAATATGAGTACTTTTCATTGTGTAACTCCTATGTCAGGAGGTTCATATTCTTTATTACATTGAGCAAGGACTCTGTTTTGCATCTAGAAGATTGCCTGGTGCATATATCAGATGCTTAGGAACTGTTTCCTGAATAAATTAACAGAGTAGTCAATTTTTGATAAAATTTTGGTTGTCAAGTCTGTCATGTAGGAAGATAGGTTAAGGGTTGATAGGAGAAGGCAGGAGCCATCGAACAGTGTTTTGGAAAAACGAACGCAGCCTGCCTTTGATGGAACGGCTTGGCTTGCGGAAGCTGTGCAGACCTCACAGGCCCTGGGCGTGCCCTCGCTCAGGGCAATCACACCCCCGAGAGCCCCAGGAGGTCCTTAGGAGATGGTGAACACACTCCTTGGGGGACAGGGGCTGTGATTTTGAAGTGAGCCATAGGGTTGGCTACCCTGTGATTTCAAGTCTGGTCTGAGGATGTGGAAAGCATTGTTCTGGGAAGGAATATTCCAGAATCTAGGTGTCGTCGTAAGGGGCGCCTGAGGAAATTTTTTGGCAACCCCTGCAGGTGCCTGTGTAGTTTGGTTCTTCGTAACACCTCCTTTTCCCTGAAGGGAATGGGCTTTGAAGGGGATAGGCTTTGGGGCTGTGGTGCCTCTTGACCCCCTTCAGCCCTGCACAGCCAATTCTTGGGCTCAAGCTCTTTCCTGAACAGTTTTTCAACCTTTTATTTAAAAAAATTTCAAACCTATGGAAAAGTTGCAAGAACAGCATAGTGAATGTGTCCTTCACTTAGATTCAGCAACTGTGAACATTTCACCACATCTCCTTTTCTTTTTCTGTAATATTGTTTTGGTTTCCATTTTTATTTTTGCTGAATCATTTGAGAGTAATTGTCAGATATGATGCCCTTTATTTCCAATATTTCAGCATGTATATTTTAAGAGTAAGAATATTCTTTTAAAGAAACATAGTTAGTTGCCTAATAGAGTAAATTCAGCACTCTGCACTACCATCACCCACACATCGTGTGTTCATGTGTGGCCACTTGTCCCAGTGGTGTCCTGGATAGAAATCTTTGCTGCCTCTAGTGTTCAACACAGCGCCTCACCTCAAATTCAGTCAAAGTCTGTTTGCTCTCCTTTAACCTCTGTCAGCTCCTCAGTCTTTGACGACTTGGACATGTGTAGAGGTCACTTGTAAAATGGTCCTCATTTGGGGCACATCTGATTGCTCATGCATTATGTGTGCTTTGGCAGGACACCTCAGGAGTGATGTTGGTCCTTCTCAGGGGTCACATGTTGTCTGTTAGTTTTAGGGCTCTACACCAGAGGTGGGGACTCTGGAGGCTCTGCCCTCCCAGCCTCCCCTATAGCTCCTGGCAGTGAGGATCCTGGAAGCGTCGCCCATCACTGTGTTCAGGAGGATGATCTGCGTTTACGCATTGACATTCCACTATCAAGAGAACTTCTTCACCCTCTCTTGCATTATAGCTGAATAGATGTGTTTCTTTTTATTTTATTTGGGGTATTTCTCCTTGTCATATTCATTCATTTTGATGCCCAGAGTGCCCCTCAGACTGGCTCCTGTGTCCTTTGACTTGCTCCATCACCTTGTTTGGTGTGTGGAGGGTCGGTTTCTTGAGGTAGTTTATATGAAGTCACCCTGTTTCTAGCGTGGTGTGTTAGGACACGTGTACATAGTTGTGGGCACATGTCCATCAGGATGCAGGACATCTCTTATCCTGTCAGCCTCTGGTGGCTGCTAATCTGAATTCTGTCCCCATAATTTTGCCTTTTTTAGGATATTATGGATATATATGGTTTTGGTTTACACATGCATGCCATGTTTTTGAGCTCCCTCCAGATGTGTGCATTGGTAATTTATTCCTGAGTAGTAGTCTTGTGTAAGAGTGTGAAACAGCCTAAGCATTGTCCAGGAGAGGGGCATTTGAACAGATTCCTTTTGGGGACTGTTAAGAATAAAGCTGCTGATATTCTTCTGTAAGTTTTCTTGTGTACATGTGCACTCAGAATCACTGAGTTATAGGGTAGATATTTTAACTTCAATAAAAAATTGCCAGTTTCCCAAAATGACTGTACCGATTTGCGTTCTAACACTTAATATTGTAAACCCCCCTCTCCATCCCCAGCATGGTAGGCAAGTGCTCTGTAGCACTGAGCTGTATCACTGGTCTTTAAAAAATTTTATTAGATACATATCTGAATATGTACCTGCCAACTTTGTGGACATCAGGTTTTCTTCTGAGACCTTTATGGTTTTAGCTTTCACATTTAGGTCTGTGATCTAGGTCTGTGATCCAAGTAAAGTTTTTTCTTTTTTAAAATTACAGGACAGGGTCTCACTGAATCACTCAGGTTGGCCTTGAACTTGCCATCCTCCTGCCTGAGCCTCCCAGGTCACTGGGGTTACCAGTGTGTGCTGCTGCACCTACCTGAGTCCAGTTAATTTTTGTTTATAAATCAGTGATCACGGTTCAGTCTCCCCAGCACCTTGCCGTGTGGATATCTAGTACCTCTTTTAAACTTTTTGATTGCTTTTGTGTTTGCTGAAAGTTAAGTGACTATCTCTGTGCAGTCTATTCCTGTACTTTGTTCTGTGGATTTGTTTGTGTATCCTTACTCAATATTATGACAGTATAGCTGCTGTAACTTTAGAGGAATTCTCGGAATCTGGTAGTGTAAGTCTTCTAATGTTGTTGCTCTTTTTTTAAGTTGTTGTGGCTAATGTACATTGGATTTGGTTTTTATTTTCCTTCCATGTGATTATATGATCGCTTCAGTATATAGTCATTTCTGTTGATACTCAATTTTAGGTCTCCTAAAATTTGTTTACCTAGCTTAAAAACGAGTGTTAAACACAAATGGTTCCAAAATTTCAAAACTACACAAAAGATGTGTCTCCTGCAGTGTGTCTCCATTCTGACCCTCCCACCTGTGGTAGCTTATTGTTGATTTCTGCTTTATCCCTCCTGTGTGTCTTTTTGCAAAAATAAGCATATAAACACGTGTGTCTATATATATAATTTTTACGTATTTGTGAATACATTTATAAACCTTTTTTCTTAGAGTTAAATTACTAGACCGTATACTCTCTGACTGTTCCTTTTTTCCACTTAATATATGCTGGAATTCACCTTCTATCAGGGCTTAGAGATTTTTAAAATTCTTTTTTACGGTTGCTTAGCAGCCAGTATTTAGCAAGCTCTGTCTTGGCTGGAGACTCCGAGCAAATAATAAACTTGAACTCTGTGCTGCAGTGATTTCTGGGCTTTTCTGGGCCTGCTTCTGCTGGTTGCAGTGGCTCACACTGAATTCAGGACCTTGGGGAAGATGTGAGCCACTCTGATGGGGTGGAGTGAAAAAGTCCCCCTTTCAGGCCTGAGTGTTTCAGGCTCAAGAACATAAACCAGTTTGAAAAGTAGGAAGAAAGGGAAGGAGAGGCTTTCAGACCCCGGGGCTTGCTGTCCTGCTATAGATGTGCCTTCGTTTCGTGGTCCCTGTCCTGGTGCCCTTGACCTGTGTGCTTCACGAGGAGAGAGTGTGCCAACCAGTGTGCCCCACAGCTTGTAGCAAGCATCTGTCACACTTTCACTCAGTCTTTCCCTCTGACACAGGTGGCCCGGGAGAGTGGCCCGCCCCACATGAAGAGCTTCGTGACCAGGGTTTCGGTTGGGGAGTTCGTGGGGGAAGGGGAAGGGAAGAGCAAGAAGATCTCCAAGAAGAACGCGGCCCGTGCTGTGCTCGAGGAGCTCAGGAAGCTGCCCCCTCTGCCTGCCATGGAGCGTGTGAAGCCCAGGATCAAAAGGAAAACCAGGCCCACAGGCAAGGTGCGACCCTTTCTGAACAAAGGGCCACCATCATTGCCCCACGGGGTGGAGGGTTAGAATCCTGGTGGTGGCTTCTCCAGAGCCAAAGGGGCAGGACTGAAAGCACATGCTAGGCCTGATAGACACTTTACAGACGCCACACAAGAGCCACAGGTCAGGTAAAGACAAGGCCACTGAGTGGATGCAGGACCTCATGCCTGCCTGTGGGCATATGGGTGAGTGGTGGAACCTCTGTGCAGTGACAGCTCTGGTCCTGAGGTGGTGGGAGGGACATGTGAGGCAGGTGGGGAAGGAGTTTACTGAATGCTGCTTCCTTTTGGATTTTGAGCTCTACTAATGGACCTGTCAGAACATATTGATCCCTCCTCACAGCCAGAAGAGGGACAGGGTTCCACTGGGGGACGTGTATGAGTGCTAGGATTTTCTTCCTTAAACATTAGCATTACACTCTTTCCTTTGTGCTTAAGGGGTCCTGGAAATGCTCCTGGTAGTGGAATGGATGAGTAGTACTTGGCACAGAAGCAGGCCAACAGGCAGGAAGTAGGATTCTTAGCTTTTTCCCATCAGTTGGAGGTTTTTTTTGTTTTTTATTTAAAGGGGCAGGACTAAAAGCACATGCTAGGCTTAAAAAAAAAAAAAAAACCTTGGTGTAATGGTTTCTGGATTTTAAGTCATTGTTAGGGAAGCTGGAAACCATCATAGTGTGGTGGTCTGTCCTCCACATCTGTGTTTCCCATCCATGGAGTCCCTCAACCTTGGAACAAAAATACTTAGGAAAAAAAATGTCTGGTGGCATTATACAGAGCTTTTTCCCTTGTCATTCTTCCCTAAACAATACAGCATAGCACCTCTTTACATGGCATTTGCATTGTTATAAACTGTCTAGCGATGATTTAAAGTTCGGGAGGATGTACAGAAGCTCATGTGCACACTGCACCATTTTACATAAGGGACGCGTGCAGGTGGAGATTTTGGTGTCCTTGTAGGATCCGGGAACAATCCCCTGCAGATACTGAGGGACAACTGTACAGATTTCTGGGGAGTTTTAGAAATGGGAGTTTTAAATTTTTCTACCTCTTTATTTACTGTCATATATGGAAACTTTTTAAAGAGCAGGCACTCAGCTTGGTGTAGTGGCTCATGCCTGTATCCCAGCTCCTCTGTAGGCTAAGGCAGGGGATCGTTTAAGGCCAGCCTGGGCAACACAGTGGAAAAAAGAAAGCAAGCCACCATTGCAGCGATGCTCGCCTATTCAGTGAAATATTGATGTTGCTTTGGTAAGACCTCACCTCAGGGTGATCAGAAAGTCATAAACATCTGATGAATTCTGAGCCATTAAGTCAGTGTAAGGTCTCATAGCTCCCGTCACATGCTGACTCTGAACCAGCCGGGTCTTTCTTGGGAGCAGTGTGGCGCACAGTTTCTCCATATAGTGTTTCTTCCTCAGCTACAGACAAGCCCAGAGTATGGCCAAGGAATGAATCCCATCAGCAGACTGGCCCAGATCCAGCAGGCCAAGAAGGAGAAGGAGCCGGAGTACACGCTGCTTACCGAGCGAGGCCTCCCCCGTCGCAGGGAGTTCGTGATGCAGGTGGGTGGCGTGGCTGGGTCGCCCTTCTCTGACCACAACCAGACCCTGTATAAGTCCAGTCCAGGGGCTGGGAGCTTTCCCGAGGAGGCCAGTCCACTCTGCCATCACGAAGAATGTGCTGCTTGCAGTGATGTGGCAGTTTAGAGATGCCCACTGGCCGCTCACCTCAGGTGCTGCCATGTCCACGGGAGGAAGGTGGAGAGAGCGCTGGGCTGGTGGGTTCTGGGTGAGTCTTTCTTCCTCATCTCCTTGGAGGTTTATGATGATCTTTGCAGAAGATGACTAGTACATGTACTATCGACAGATCTGTTCCTGCTCCGTGTGCAGGGCCTGGACCATGGGGTTGGCTCTTCCTTATACTAGGGTGACGCTCACAGGGGCACGGAGGGTTTCTCCTTGTGCTGGGTTTATTAAACAGTTACTTCTCATGGGCACCTTAACTTACTTGCAACCTAAATTTAATTATTTTCTAATGAAAAACAGAATACAGCGGTCTTTCCCTATTCTGAGGTTTTACTTTCTGGAGTTTTTCCATGGTCACCCTGGGTCTAAAAATATTAAATGGAAAATTCCAGAAATAAACAATTTAAGAGAAGAGAGAGAGAGAGAGAAGGAATCTTCTTTGTAGATGGACACAATACAATGCCTTTATTATTTTTTTTATGTGGTGCTGAGAATCAAACCCGGGTCCTACCCGTGCTAGTCGAGCGCTCTACCGCTGAGCCACAATCCCAGCCCAACAATTTGTAAGTTTTAAGTTGCACACCATTCTGAGTAGCAGGGTACCTTGAGCCATTCTGCTCCATCCCAGAAAATTCTTTTGTCCAGCGTACGCACGGTGTATACTCCACCTGCTCATTCACCATGTAGTAGCCACCTTGATTACTAGATGGACTGTCATGGTGTCAGGGCCTGGTGACTGCAGTGTTGGGCGTCCACTGAGGGGTTGTAATGCGCCTTCTCAGATAAAGGACCTGCTGCATTTGACTCTTGTGTGGCAATTTGCAGCTCATGAACTGTCTGTCATCCTGGTGTTTCTTCTGCCGTGTCAGGAGACAAGAGGAGATGAGCCTCACATTCTCTAAGAGGAAACCACACTTTTTGGAGAGAATCGGTTTGCCCGAGACAGGTGGCTGGGAGACAGCCAGATGGGAATCAGTCCTAGGATCCTCTTCTACCAGGGAAGGGTTTCCTTGATCCTGTCCTTGTGACATTGTGCTTTTGGTTTTAGCAGCCAGGTACCTTGGTCAGCACCAATTTAGGAAGAGGGTGTAAGCAGGTGTGCCAGAATATGTTTAGCAACCAGCTTTTAGGGAAAGGTGGCATGGCCGGAAGGAGGTGCCTAGGCAGATGTCTCTAGAAGCACATGCACGTACATTTGGGCATACTCTAGATTCCACTGATGGAAAGGGGTGCGGCACACAGCTTGGATAGGATTCTCTTTTATTTGTTTGTTTGTTTGGTTTTTTTTATACATAACGGTAGAATGTATTATACTCTATGTATCACACATACATAGAGTATAACTTCCCATTCTTGTGAAAGTTATATTGTCGTGTGTTCATATATGAATATAGGGAAGTTACGGAAGACCCATCCCCCCCTCCCTCACATATAATTCTCTTTATCATAAATTTCATACACCTAGAACTTCACTGTGAAAATCACCAACACCAGTGTAACAAAATCAGCACTTAATGCTTTATTACAAGATCCGGTTTAGCTGGGCGCACCTGTGATTGATCTCAGCTACTTGGGAGCATCACAAATTCAAAGCCAGCCTGGGCGACTTAGCAAGACCCTGTTTCAAAATTTAAAATAATAAAAAGGGCTGGAGATATAGCTCAGTGGTAGAGTGCCCCTAAGTTCAGTCCTCAGTACCAAAGGGGAAAAGAAAAAACAGTATCCAGTTTAGCAAAGAGGTTTGCTCATGTTATTGACGAATCCATAATTTAGATTTTAATTCTAGCATGAATATTGGTTGGTTGATGGTTTTGTTTACCTTAATAAATAAGATGAAAGGAGAGCCATGACGATGTAACTTTGCCCATTTATAAATGATCAGTGCTTTCTCTGCTGAACTGGATAACTTTTACAGCCTAGCAAATGCTTCAGTTTCTTGTAGAGTTTAATGGCTGCAGACTTCACATACTTTTAAACTTAATCTGTATTAATAACCTTTTCTCCAACACTTTTAAGTCCAGAATTTGTCAGTAAATAACTTAATATCAAATAGGAACACTGGTGGATGTCTGTGGTGCATATATTCCTACAACAGCTGATTGCAAGTTTTTAGCACCTCTGGTCTTGTAGTTGGGAAAAGAGATGTGCAGTGGCAGACAGGCGCACTGTCGTATCTGACTTCCTTACGTTGATATGATGATGGGCAGCCCCTCAGGAGCAGAGATGGCTGAAATGTAGTCAAGTGGGAAGTGCTGAGTTTTGAGTATTCAGTATCCCTGTGAAGTATACGCTTATGTCATCTACGGTTTCATAAAGGCCATGTTTAACAGCCAGCTCTCCAAATTCCAAGATATTCAGTAACTGGCTCCTGTGGAGTGGGGCAGGCAAGCTGCAGAGCAGCCTGTCAACCCTGCCATCCAGCTTTGCCCGTTGCCAGGTTCCTTGGCCAGCATGCCAGCCCTTGCCTGCTTGTTGCTGAGGGTAAGCACTGCCTGTTCTGACTGCCTTGTTCAGGTGAAGGTGGGAAACCACACCGCAGAAGGAACGGGCACCAATAAGAAGGTGGCCAAACGCAACGCAGCTGAGAACATGCTGGAGATCCTTGGTTTTAAAGTCCCACAGGCCCAGCCCACCAAACCTGCGCTCAAGTCAGAGGAGAAGGTAAGCGCTTAGGGTCCTGCTTACAGCATGGCTTCCTCCCCAGCCCTAGGAACCCCGGCACCTGCGGGGCAGGCCCAGGGCGAGGTGTCCTCCTCCTCCCTGCAGTGGAGCCACTCTGCCAGCAGCCTCTGAACAGTTTGGACCAGATAGTGCACTTGGGGATTTCCTACCCAGGGGCTCCAGACAAGGCTTGGGGCCAAGCACTTATGTGTCAGTGTCCTTGCAGTCTGTGGAGACTTCACTGGAGGGCAGCTTGTTCCTGTCAAAGTTTGTAGGATGATGGGGCCTGACTTTAAGGAGGGTGATTCTGTCATTTGTGCTTTGAAAGTGAAGCCTACAGGAAAGATTGATAATGCTTAAACTTCTGTTGTGGAGAAGGCTTTGGTTTTTCTGGGCCAGTGAGCTGGTGTGATATTAGGCCAAATCTGTGGGATTGGGAATTCTTTTCTTTTAATAGAACACAAGATGAAAGTGATTCCATATTGAAAAATGCCAGCACAGCCTTGGATGCCCTCTTATTTCCAGTCACTGACAACCTGTTGGGATAAACCTGAAATCAGGTGTGGCCACTCATCTCTGCCAGTTGTATTGATAAAGGCCACACAGTTCATCATTGGGACCCCAAACATTTGTCTGTAGAGTTGGTATTTGGGTTTTTCATTTCAAAAATCTTGTAGAGCATTCATTAGCATCCTTATCTTGTTAGTTTTCAGAAACGGATCAAATTTTAGATAGCAACATCCCCCACCCGCGAAGTGTTACCTTAAGAAGTGTCATCTGATTCCTAGATTGGGAATCGGCTCCAGGAAACAGTCTTGATACGTGGTCAGCTTCCATCTAAGAGCTCCTTTCCCACTTGGATCTGCTCCGACAGACTAGCACCTTCTTCTGGTCAAGCCCCCCACCTCCACCCCCACCCCATGCTCCGAGGGAGAGCAGCTCTGCCTGTGCGGGGCTGTCGCCACCCTCGGTGTTCTATGGATGGGCAGGTGTCGGGTAGGGCAGGGTTTTCCAGCTGAAGACCTCGTTTGAGCCAGTTGGGTTTGTAGTTCTGGGTAGCAGGAACTGCGATGTCAATGGCTTCATTTATACTCATACCCGTCCTTCTTTCCCCCCCTCCCATTTAAGACACCAATAAAGAAACCAGGGGATGGAAGAAAAGTAACCTTTTTTGAACCTGGCTCTGGGGACGAAAATGGGACTAGTAAGTGTGATCTTCGTGTGATCCAGATGTGGTCCTGGGGATTGCATGCTTCCTGAGTGAGCGGTGTGACTCGCAGTGTCAGCAGCTGTGGCCCCCTTGGAGCTGGGGTGGCGGGCAGTGGGTGCAGTGTCGGGCGTCCTCTGGTGGTGTACGTGGGTTTGTGTTTATCTGTGTGTCCCTCCTCAGGTAATAAAGAGGACGAATTTAGGATGCCTTATCTCAGTCATCAGCAGCTGCCTGCTGGGATTCTTCCCATGGTGCCCGAGGTCGCCCAGGCCGTAGGAGTTAGTCAAGGACATCACACCAAAGATTTCACCAGGGCAGCTCCAAATCCTGCCAAGGCCACGGTAACTGCCATGATAGCCCGAGAATTGTTGTACGGGGGCACTTCACCCACAGCCGAGACCATTTTAAAGAATAACATCTCTTCAGGCCACGTACCCCATGGACCTCTCACAAGACCCTCTGAGCAACTAGACTATCTTTCCAGAGCCCAGGGATTCCAGGTAACTGGTAGGCCTGAGGTGGGAGGGCTGGGCTCCTCTCAGAAATTGAGCTTCGCACTCTACGCAAAATCAGACTCTTGCTGGGAGTGAGCTCAGTACTAGAGCGCCGGCCTAGTGTGTGTGAGTCCCTGGCTTCATCTCCATGCACTGGGAAAAACACAGAAGGAAGAGTAAAATGAAGTTCTGTGCCCCGGGGGTGGGCAAGCAGTGGCTTGGCAGAAGGGTGATCCTGGACAGGGAAGGAGGTACAGCCAGAGTCACAGGCCTGTAGGGAAAAAGAAGGGCCTTGTCCTTTCATAATACCATTTTCAAGATCTAAGCAATCCTAAAAACAAAGCCTTTAACCTTTAGTGGTAGTTGCAACAGATCACCTGAGCTGACCCTTTGACCATTTGGGAAGGTCACAGCCTCTTCCATGCCAGGCATCCTTAGTTGGTATCTTCTAGGTTCCTGTAAAATTCTGGGCTGGTCCCTGAGCATCCAGGTGGGTGGTGGTGGTCACAGTAGGTAGGGTGCGTCCCAGACGCTGGCCAGGAGCTGCCACCCTCCACTCATTCATGCTTGCCACCTCCCTGCCCTGGCCTCAGTTCTCTTTCCCCCTCCAGGTTGAATACAAAGACTTCCCCAAAAACAACAAGAACGAATTTGTATCTCTCATCAATTGCTCCTCTCAGCCACCTCTGATCAGCCACGGTATCGGCAAGGATGTGGAGTCCTGCCATGATATGGTACGTCACCCCTGACCGGAGGGTTGGTGAGTGAAGCTGAGTGGTTATGTGGAGCTTGTCCTGGCCTCGGGGAGAGGGGAAGCCACTCTTCATAGATCTCGTCAACAGCTGCTGGACAGTGCCTGTCTGTGAAGACCGACTTGGCTGGCCGGGCGGGTCTCTTCCTCTGTCTTACCTGTCAGGTGGCCTCGCCCTTCGCTCTCCCAGGCTGACCTGAGGGTTGACTGGGACCCTGGGGCTCCTCCTGAGACTGACTGTATTTACTTCATTCCCCACCGGCTCTGGGAATCGGGGTCCATGTCCGGGCCGCTGTGTTAAGCCCCTGTTCTGGTGTTCTGTTTAGATGAGTTTCTTAATGAAAAACACTAAAACTGAGAAAAGGGATTGGCTAACAAATCGAAGCTGTGGCAGTTCACTTAATGGAATATAATGCATGCATCAAATTAATGTCTGAAGATCATGTAATAAAAAGGAAAACGCACGTTAGGCTTTTGTTTGAAAGTAGTATAGAAAATTCCTGTAGTCTGGTTACAGTAAGGTGTTAAAACTCCTAAGCGGCTGTCTGGAGGCTGGGCTCAGTGGTAGAGCAGTTGCCTGCATGTGTGAGGCCCTGGGTTTGATCCTTAGCACCACATATAAATCAATAAAATAAAGATCCATTGGCAACTAAAATATTTTAAAATACTAAGGAATTATTTCATAAAATGAACAGAGGTTGTGATTCGGTGAGGTAACTGTGACTAATCTATTTTATTAAATGTGTGTTTCAAATTAAAAATTCAGACATTTTCTTTGGTGGGTCCGGTTTACGAAGTTGCCTCATGTTTGCTGGGGCAGCAGGAGACCCCTCCTTCCCTGCTGGGGTGTCCTGCTGGAGCTGCCCGCCATGGCTGTGGTTTCACTCTCCCTTCTCTCCCCCTTAGGCTGCTCTGAATATTTTAAAGTTGCTGTCTGAGTTGGACCAACAAAGTACAGAGACGCCAAGAACAGGCAACGGGCCAGCGTCCATGTGAGTGAGCCGCCCGGCCCCCACCTGCATCTGCGCCCCCGGCTGCTGGCTGGGAAGCTGCCCCTGCCCCGAGCGTGCTCTCCCACCCACCTTCTTTAGGCGGAGTGCTGCTTGTTCTGGGTTTGCCACATTCCCATGGCTCAAAGCTGAAGTGTTCCTAAGGGTGCACAGTGGCAGACCTGGCCCTGCCCCGTCCCCCGCTCTCCTGCTCCCCCAGGGCTCGCGTGTTCACTAGTTGTGTAGCTCACGCTCTCACCGCCCTGAGGCGAGCGTCCTCTGTCCCCCCTGCTTCCTTCACTCACGGGGTTGCTGGGAAGCTCTGCTCTAGCCTGGCATCGCCAGCGGGGCCTGCCCTGGTGGCCCTGGGGGTTTGCTGAGAGCAGTGTCCCCTCAGCACAGGGCTCTCACTTCAAAACTGGTGTCATTTTCATTTTTCCTTCCTTAAAGGTGTGGGAGGTGCTGAACATTTTCTGGCCGTGAACCATTTTGAAACGCAACATATATACTGAACACACTGAAACTGCTTTGAAAATTTGGAATTTCTGATACGTCCAAGTGGGCTGAGAGATGTGGTGGGTCAGAGGCGGGCGGCAGCATGGAGACCACAGCGACCCGAGGTGGCCAGCGGATGAGGCAGCTGCTGGGGGAGAGGCTCGTGGGCATCCAGCGGCGGCTCGGTGCTTGGCCTTTTTTTTTTGTCTCTCTTTGCTGTGTAAAAAAGAAACAAAACATGAACGTTCTTGTCCTGGTGACTCAGACACTTTGGGACAACCCTGGACAGCCACGCTGGAGAGAGGCCCTAGACCGGCCCCAGAGCTAACAGCACCAGAGAAAATCCAATGCTTCCTCCTCAGCTGACCTACCTTCCTAGCGGGCCGGCCACCCACCGCCTACGTCGTGCCCACCCTGAACACCACTTCCTCCCCAGTGAGGCGTGCTCTTCTTCGTTTCATTATTTTCTTTTGATTGATATGACACTATATAAAGTTTTCATTTGAGAGTTTCTCAATTGTATCTAGTTATATAGCACAGTTTAGAAACTTGTCTGAGACTGACTTTATCAGTACCTAACCGGCAAAGATCATATCCATGTGTGTGGTTATGCGTTCCTATTTCATTGGACTAACCCAGGACCCTTTCAGTAGTGCAGGTTGTGGCCCTTTGGTTTAGCTGAAAAAGTCCTGGACTTCTCAGAAAACTTGATGAAGTCTCCCACAGTTGTATAAATTGGACAATTTAGGAATTTTAAACTTTAGATGATCATTTGGTCCTTTTCTATTTTATTTTTATTTTTGTTAATGCAACAGGACTTAAATAAATGAACTTTGATCTTTGTTTTAAAGATTATAAAAAAATTGTGTCTATCCATCTGGCTCTTGAGGACGTTTAGCTTTCACCACACTGCGGGGTCACGCACACGGGCCCGCAGCTGACTCTCCTCGAGTGCTTGATACTGTTAATGACATCTCCATGTTGGGCTGAGAAGAACGACCGTTTGTATATACAGCTGTGTTGCTTTTGATGCTGTGCTGTTGTACACACAGACGTGTGCACAGAGTCTGCTCTGTCCTGGTGAAGAGCACGTAGCCCTGCCGGTTCAGTACTGCTTCCACCCGTTGTCACGCTGGAACTTTCTCCCCATGGAATGTAAGTAAAACTTAGTGTTTGTCACCAATAAATGGTAATACTAAAATTTTTTTTAATTTATTTTTAAATGCCAGTATGTTAGGTTGGTCTCCTTCCAAGTCATCCCTCCCCTTTTTTATTTTTAAGAAAAAATGATTTGTAATGCTTGTGATTCCCTCTGGGCAAAATCTGAAGATCTGAGATAACTTTATATCAAACCATTGATCAATAAACAGCTACTAATGAAGTTTCTGGTCCTGTTGAGCAGTAACTGAAGAAGCCAGGGAAGCTGTGACTGAGGAGAGGGAAGTGAAGTGTGGGGGACAAGGCCAGCCGGGGAGCACATGGGAACACTTGGTGCAGGTGCCCTCCAGCCTGGTAGCTGGTGGTTAAGGGGCAGCTGGTGGTTCTGTTGACATTCATTCATTTCTGTGGTGCTGGGTATTGAACCCAGGGGTGCTCTACCACTGAGTTATATCCCCAGCCCTTTTTATTTTGAGACAGTGTCTTGCTAAGTTGCTAAGGCCGGTCTTAAAACGTGTAATCCTCCTGCCTCAGCGTCCTGAGTACCTGGGATTACTGTCTGATAAAAAAAAATTTTTTTAAGAACTATAAGGTTATAATGGCGGTTGTCTATGAAGTGACCATCTGACTTAACCAAAAGTGATCTGAAGGCATTTTATGTCTTCAAAATAACTAGACATGGGCTGGGGCTGGGGCTCAGTGGCAGAGTGCTTGCCTAGCAATGTGTGAGGCACTGGGTTCGATTCTCAGCACTGCATATAAATAAATGAATAAAATAAAGGTTTATCAACATCTAAAAAAAATACATTAAAAAAAAAAAAAAAAAAACTAGACTAGTGGGACAGTGACTTCCATTGAGGCAGGTGCCCCTGTAGGTTCAGAAGCCCTCAGGAGAGCCGGGTGTGGTCTGCAGCAACCAGTGTTCCTCATGTAGCTGGATGCTGAGTGGACAGTGGCACTTGGAAGGTGTCCATCTTGGGGTCTGCGTTTCTGGCCTGTTCCAGGCACTCCACAGAAGCAGCAGTGGCCTGGGCGAACTTGGGTCCACTCAGACCTGTTGACGTGAGCGTTAAGTGCTAAAAGCATCACAGTGAAAACCAGGATAGTTCAAGAAGAGCACATTGGCAAGCTTTCCGCCCCCTCCTCTCTGTACATTAAAACATAACCATCTTTTTTTTTTTTAACCTTTAGAAAGTGAACTTGTTTTGAAGTTACTTCAAACAGAAAAGTTGAATTTTACTGAAATTGCATCTGTACTCTCCCTGTCCCCCCAATTCAGATATTCCACCAAGTCAGGAAGTCAGCACCACCACCCCGTCCCGGGACCTCAGTTCTGGGCTTGTCGAGCAACACACGTTGCTTTGACCTTCCGGGCCATCTGGTTGCTCGGCCGCCTGGCTGTCCTTGGGACTTCTCTGCAGTTGACCCTCAGCCTGCGTCTGGCTGATGATGACCAGGCTCCGCAGTACTTCTGAAGGGAAAGCCACAGAAATGACTCTCTGCCGTGTGTCACACCAGGGTTGAGGCGTAGGTGTCCATCAGCGTTGGTCACCCACTTGTGTCAGGTTGCTCCACTGTGGGTCACGCTTCCCTCGGTAACCGCGGGGTGTTGTGGGAGGCTAGTTCCTGCCGCGCTTCCTCCTTCCTTGCCCTCCACTGGCAACTCCCACTGAGCCCGCGCTGCACTCCCTAGGGCTCTTATTTCCCATTGATTCCGAGTATCGGCAGCTGATGCAGTCCTAGGTCACCATGGTAAGAACCCATTACCACCACCTGTTTTGATGCTTTCATCTTTCCCAAAAGAGGCCACCAGATGTCTGTTCAAGGTGTCCTTTTAGCTGTGGAAAAGCATGCATACTTTATCACCTTCACCATGTTTTTTTTTTTTTTTTTAAATATTTATTTTTTTAGTTGTAGTTGGACACAATATCTTTACTTTATTTTTATGTGGTGCTGAGGATCGAACCCAGGGCCTCGCACATGCTAGGCAAGCACTCTACCACTGAGCCACAACCCCAGCCCCCACCATATTTTTTAAGTGTACGGCTTGGTGTATTATTTCCATAACATTCTGCCGTCCGTGCCTCCATGTCGGGGCTGTAAAACTGAGGCTGCCCCCGTTGGCCCGTGACTCCCCATGCCTCCTTCCCCCAGCCCCTGGCAGGCACCTGTGGTCGTGGTCATCTAAGTGTGAGTGGACTCCTGTGGCCTTCTTTGAGACTGGCTTGTGTTACTTTCATTTCGTGGGACGGCGCCTCCACGCTTGGCTATTTGAAGTAATGCTGCTGGGGACATGGGCTTAGGTACCCCTCTGAGGCCTGGCTCTCAGTTCTTTGGAACATGGACTACAGGGGGCGCCGCTGCATGCTGCGGCAAGGCTGTTCTCTAGGAACCTTTCCCACAGTGCTCTGTGGTGTTGAGGGGGCCCTCCTTGGCGCAGGTGATTCCGCCGTAGTTTTGACTGGCCTTCTCTGTGAGCGCGCTGCTTGAAGCCTATTTGTGGATCCTCTCTGGAGAACAGTGTTCAGACCATCTGTCCATTTTTAAATTGGGTTGGTTGTTGAGATCCGGAATTGGCTGGATATTCTAGGAGTCGGTCCTTTATCAGATACACGATTTGTGAATTTTTTCCTCCCATTCCATGAGTTGCCTTTTTACTGTTTACATATATATTTACACACACACATTTTTTTCAGCACTGGGGATGGAACCCAGAGCCTTGTGCCTGCTAGGCAAGCTCTTCAACACTGAGCTGCCTCACCTGGAGCCTGTAGGTGTGTTTTTTTGGTAGTGGGAATTTAAACCAGGGTGCTCTACCACTGAGCCACATCCCTAAGCCCTTTTTATTTTGTAAGCTGCTCAGGGCCTTGCTGAGGCTGACCTCAGAACCATATTCCTCCTACCTCAGCCTCCCGAGCCCTTGGGTGTGTGCCACTGTCCGGTTCGTGTGCCCCTTTGATGGACAAATTTCATGAAGTTGCCTGTGCCGTTAGTATCACATCCAAGAAATGGCTGCCAAATCCAGTGCTGTGAAAGAAGCATTTGCTGTGTTTTCCTCTAAGAGTTTTATAGTTTTAAGCCTTACATTAAGGCTCCTTCCAACGTGTTTTACCTTCCTGGTGGGCATTTTCTCGGCAACCTTTGTTCTTTCCCTGTTGAATGGTCTTGTGCCTTTGTTAAACACCTATAATCCCTGTTACACAGGCTGGGTTCAGGCCTCCGCACTGTAAAGGAAAGTCACTTGACCATATTTGTGAGGGACTGTTTATAGGTTCTTTGAGTCTATTCCCTGATCTGTTTTGTCTTTTTAGCAAGATTTGAAATCAGGAAATGTAAGCCCTCCCTCCAGTTTTATATTTTAGGTTGTCTTTTGTTAATCAGGGTGCCTTGACATTTCTATTTGAATTTTTGGATGGGCTTTTCTGTTCCTGCACAGCTGCAATTTGCCATGCTGTGAGTGGACTTACTGAATTTCAACTTGTTAGGATGCCTGGGATTCATCTTGTCCTTTTCCGGTCTAAAAAAATAAATATTAAAAAAAGAGCAACCAGTGCTACTGAGGTGTTAGAGGGCCTGGGCCCAGCGGTCTGTGTGGGTGTCACACGCATTTGTGTTCACCTGTGGCGCTGAGGATCAAACCCAGGCCTCACACGTGCTACAGCCCCAGCCCAGCCCCGTCCTCTTCTCCTGCCCTTCTGTTCCTGGAATATTCTTATGCCAAGCTCAGACATTCACTGGGTGCTTTATCTTAAACCCCCACAAAGGCATGTGAGCTATAGCATTTGGAAAGAAACCTGAGGCTGTGGATGTGGTGCTGGAGCTCACCTGTTCCATACAGTTAGAAGCCTAATGATTAATGAAGCAGCACAATTTTTTTCTTGGGAGTTCTTTGCTACTGTGTATTTGTACTGTTTGTTTTAATGCATGTATACAAAATATACAAATATAGAATGTATGTGTGAAACTATTCTAATTCATCATCGTTTAATTGGCATCCCACTGTTAGAAATGTGTACTTTATTATGTGCTTATTAACCCCATTTCAAATTTTTAAAGTCCTTTGTATATTCTTTCATAAACACTTAAAACCACGCTGGGGCTGGGTGGTAGATTGCCTGTCCAGCATTTGTGAGACCGTGGGTCCAGTCCCAGGCACTGCAGACCAAACCAGAACCAAAGAACCCCACAAACTGCTTCGACCATGCGCCCAGGAAGACTGCAACGGCAGCAGCGGGGCAGTCTGTGCAGCCACAGCAATTGTTTAAATGGAAGGCAGCACCTGCGTGGCCATAGGGCGTCAGCACTTGACTTCACAGCCCCAGTGCGTGGGTCCCCGTTCCTTAGGCAGGGCTAGCAGCCTACCCACCCCCACCCTAGGTCATCACTGTGTTCTGACGGATTGGTAGGCGGGGCGCCCTAAGGACTCTGCTTCTTTCTGGCTGCTAAGGGACCCAGGTTGGCTTGAGATGCTCTGGTTTGCAAATCCCTTGGGCCTTTGTTTCTGTGCAGATATTCCCTTGGGGTCTGGCTCCCTGGTGTCCACACCTTATCCTGTGTGGGGGCTTGCCCAGCAGATCCTGTTGGCAATATGAGGGCCAGTTTGAAATGCATGCCTCCAAATTCTCTGGGTTCTAATAAGTTGTTTCCCTGGTTCCTTGAATTTATGGACAACAAAGGCTGCAGCAGATGACAGACAAGAACACAGGCAGTCCTCAGACCTTTGCCAGCCTGGCTGGACAGGGAGTACAGGTGAGTAGCAATGCAGTTTTGTCTCCAGGACTGACCCCTCAGGCAAAACTGAAACTGCTAACTTCACCTTTAAAATATGAGCCCCTCCCGTTTTGTGACCACAAATTCTATTTTCAAAATTTTGGCCACTTTATCTTTCAAAAGTGAACTCGTTTTGCTACGTCATAATTTGCCCACATTGAGCGTGCACTTTGTCAGCTGGAAGGCAGCTCAAAAGATCTCTGGGTCATGTTCCCATTGGCTTCGATTTCTTAGCCAATCGCAGAGCTTTTGGCGCAGCAGGTCTGGAGAGGGACAGGAACATGCGTTTAGCCCCGAGTTCCCACTACTATTCTAGTATGACCAGTGCTCCTTTGGGTGGCACCTGCCCTGTAAATCCTCTTGCTCTGGCAAAATGGAGGGTGGCCTGGGCATCTGGATTCCAGAAGCACTACACCTGATTCTGAACACAGGTACTTGGGCTTCCCTCAACAT